GTAAGTGCCGGACTCCAGACCTGCCGTCCCACGCACGCACGCACGCACTTTGTGCGAGGCTCACAAATTGGTTTGTGATGAAAAGAGTGGCGTGCCTGGGGTTCTTGTTAATTATATCAGAGAATAGCTGTTTAGGACAGAAATGAAAGGAGAATTCCTCTGGGCTTTGGGAAGTTATTTAAATACAGCCGAAACCTACATTTAATTACAAAATGCCCGGCTCTCCCAGCAACGGTGTGGTGGAGGCCAGCTTCCCGGGGGCCACTGCACCTGGTGTCACTTTGACTCTGGAGCAGCTGGAACAGGTTCCAGGCCCCAGGGAAGAGGCCCCTAGAGCCACTGGACTGGCCTCAGTGTCTCTGTGGACAAGGGCCGGGGACACTGTCCTGAAAGCCTGTGCACCGGTCTCTCCGACAAAGCCCAGCTGAGACCCTTGTCCCACTGGTGAGAGCCAATGCACGTCCATGCCCTGCAAAGTGTGCGGGTGCTGGAGAAGGTGCTGTGCATGAACGAAAGCCGGCTATGCTGGCCCTGGTATTGGGCCGGGTGCCCATATGAGGGAAGCATGCCACTGGGAGAGACTAGGGTAAGTAAAAATGGGATGTAAGGACTGAAGTAGAGGCTGGCCTGAGTCCCTTGTTCACGTACGCACTGGAGAGGCATGCCTGTTCACACGACACAGCCGCCCCCGCCCCCGCCCCCGCCCCCCCTGATCCTCTCAGGTTGCCGCCTCCAAGGGATGCGTTGTAGTTTCTACCCTGATTGTGCCTGTCCTGAGAGTTAGGGAGTCTCCCTGTATCCAACACTGTCCTCGCCTCAGATCTGACCAACTGTAGATTGCGAGGGACATCCAAGAGGAGGCCCCCAGCTAACCTGATACCAGAACATTCCATAGAGATCCCCAAGCAGAGCTCCCACCTGTGTCACAGGGACGGACATCAGAGATCCCTCCCATGTCACGGGACCGGCCATGGCTTTGGCATGCATACCCCTGAGCAGCCACCCGACATAAAGGTGGTGTCTGTCTACAGATGGGCCAGGAGCTTTCACCACTCAGGACTTGCAGGGCGAGGACAGCGCAGCTGAGGTGGGTGGGTGTGTGGGGGTGGGTGTGGGTGGGTGGGTGGGATGATGGGGGAACAACCACCAATGGTTCCATTCGCATGGAGACAGGATGAGAGACGACAGGGAGTCCAGGTGAAAGATGGGGGCTGAGTGCGAGGAAGTAGGAAACCGGGGACAGACCTGGCATGCTCGCAGGCCCCAACGCAGGTGCCAGCACATGGGCGCTGCTCCCCAGCTGTCCAGCCCGGCCATTCCGAGCGAATTCTTTGTGAACGCCACAGTCCTGCAAATACCCGCGTCTCCCCCCTGCCCAGAACTGCAGTCCCCACCACGGAGGATCCAACTCTAGTGTTTCTGCCAGGTGGTGGTGGTGGTGGGGCCGTCCTGGAGGGCCAACTTCTCGTGTTCCCCGGGATCCCCTCAGCCAAGGGCTCTCACGGTCCCGGGCACACACGGTGGAGGTGTTTCCGACCCAGTGGCCATTGCGTGCTAATGCTTGTGTGGCAGGTGGTTCAAAGAGCATTGCAGACCCCATGCTCGGCCCTTATTCTAAACCAGATAGACACGAGGCAAGGGCACTCGGCAGCCCTGGGCGGGGGAAGGGGGGCTCATCGGATTCAGCCACTGCCATTTTTGCAGAGGGAGGACGAGAGAGTTGGTGTGCACCTTGGTTGGTTTGTGGTTGAAAGCGGTCATATGGTAGGAGAGACTGGGGCAGACTTCCAGAAGAGCCAATGTCACAGGAGCACGGCAGTGTGGGGCCAGCCTGGGTGGGAGGCGGTTGTAGCTCAGGCACCTCACGCATGTCAGCAGGAAAGAAGACATCGGAACACACAGATTTTTCTGCTGCCCATCCCCACCCCACCCCACCTCCCAGCACATAGAGTTTCCTGTGGTGCAAAGCTTACCCTGGTGTGTAGGGTAACTAAAACTCACATTCTCCATGACGGAAACCCTTCTTAATGGTTGAGCGGCAGGTAGCAGGTGCGTTAGAGGGAATTTGTGTTTGGAAGGGCTACACTGTCGCCGCTGTCCCCATTTGCCCCCTCTGCCTGCTGGTGGAGCTGTCCCACAGCCTGCACAGCTGATCTCGAGGCACCGTTGTGTGGGATGCGGAAGCTGGGAGTATAACCATATTACCCTTGGGGTAAGACGACAGAGGGAAATGTGGGTGGAGGGCTCGTGGCCACTATACAAGCAATTCCTGAGAGCCTGCCTATGTACAGTGTGCCCGGGCAAGTCTTACCCACCTTTCTCTTCCCCAACTGGTTCTAGCACGTCTTAAAAATCCCGAGGAGTCAGCACCTGCCACAAGGAAGGGATGTGGTGATCACCGTTGCATAGCAGGTGGTAGACACCGTTCCTCTCCAGGCCAGGCCTCCTGAGCCACCCGCTGTAGTCCCGAGGCAGGGGAAGGGGCACCTTTCAAGCCTCCGTGGCTCCACTTTTAGGAGCTGTTAGGGCAAGGTAAGAGGTTTCCCTCAGGGAGAACCTAATGCGGCTATCCAGGCTGGAGATCAGTTTTCCTGACCCAGGAGCCCAGTGCCTGTCTCCTTCCGCCAGTATCTGCTTTCTGACGGTGGACGCAATCCACCACCTGCCTCTGTCTCCTTCTGCTGTGCCTCCCCCACCCCCCACCATGGTGGGCTGCGTCTTCAAGCCGTACGCCAATAAACCCGTTCTTTGCCAAGTATTCTGCTTACAGCAACGAAAACAGTAACCGATACACCTGGTAACTTTTGAAGAGAGGGCCACCACACGTTGGTCCAGGCATTGGGAGGAGGCTCTAGGACCAAGGGATGATGGCATGGGAGGTCCTCTACCCCAAGCTCCACACCACAACTCCCGATCCCTATCTAGGCTTCTTTGCCTCATTCCTATCTTCCTATTCACCATAGACCCGTCCTTCTCCCAACACAGGGATGTCCCAACACAGGCCTGAGCTTCCCTGGCTGACTTCGTTGTGATTTTTTTTTTTACTAGACAGACCTCCTTCCTGCTCAGGAAACATGCAGTCCTTCTTTCTAGAGTAGGCTTGTCACACAACCTTCCTGGCAAAGGTGGAACTCTGGGATTCGGGCCACCCCCATGGTCTCTGCTGCCTTTTCCTCCTATTCGTAATTCTAATCCCAGGTCTGAGCTAAATGTTGCTCCCAGCTGCCTCCAAAGTCCTCCCCAGAACCCCGAGGCATGCCCAGCAGAGTCTGTGCCACGGCACCCAGAGTGTGTGCTGCCCGTGTGCACGGGCGGCGGGGTTAGCAGCTCTCCTCTTTTAAACGCGTGAGCTGCAGCTGGCTCGGCAGAGAAGGACACACGTTCCGCGGGCCGACACGGGCATTAACTAGACCTCAGGAGTGTCTCGGGTGTGTGGGCTCATAGCTAGCATGACCTGACTTGGCCGTCTTCATCTGAGTGCTTCATCTAAGAGCTCACCCTGAGAACCACTCATTGTCTCAGAGGTAGAAAACTCAGGGCAACGTGGGCTGGCGCTCACCGACATCATCTGCATTTTTATGGGAGCGCTAGTTATGCTTAATATGTTTTGTTAATGGTTATGTAGCTGTCAAATAAATCCCATTATTTCTTATTACATCATTAGAGACCATTAAAACGACATTAGCATGCTGATGTAATTACGCCAGCAGAACATACAGCGGCCACAGTTATGATTTTATAACTAATCACGGCTGTCCTGGGCTGGCTGATGAATGCCGCTCTCCCCCGCAGCATCTGCTCAGGTGGGAAGAACGGGAGGAGGAAAAGGTGTTTCCGAGAGCTTGGAGCCCAGCCAGCTCTCCGGATGAACCGCAGAGCCCCGGGTCGACATGGGCTGCACAGAGCCCACTGAAAGCCCGAGGCCGCGATTGAGATGTATGGCTCTCATCTTTCAAGACGCAGTTCTGTTCCTCACTGGTGCGCTTGTTCGGGGCAGTGACCGAGGTGCAGCCATGGGCAGCCTCACCTGCACATCATCAGCATCTCCTGGGCAGACACCGGCACTCCAGTATGGACCTCACACCCCTTCTCCCTGGCCTGTGCCCTGTCGTGTCACCCTCTAAGTAGCAGGCAATCTGGGAAGTTTGCAGACTTTTCAGGGACTGCACTTCGTTTTATTTACTATTTGACCCCTAGCCTTGTCCCTTTGTCTCAAAAGGGTTTGAGCTGCTGCACCTCCATGGGCTATGCCCTAGTTTGCCTCTGCAGTCCAAGGTAAATGGACATCAGGGAGTCTGCCTGGGGTAAATGGAACAGTGCCTTCAGCAGGAAGATTCAGAAACTGGAGGAACACCTCAGTAAATATGTATCACTGCAGCTTGGGTGCCTACAGCCTGCCCTCCTGTGCCTGCAACAGTACAGTCAACCATGTCACTGGGTCAGAGGGCAGGCTCTGCCCCCAGTGCTCGCCTGGACAAGGAGAAGATCGCAAAGGGCTGACCTTGGGGCCAGAGACAAATGCTCGTGGCTCCCTTGAAATAGCACCTAGGAATGGGGAAAGTGTGTCACACTACCTGTCTTTAGACTAAACAGGCACTTGCAGGGCATAAGGTGTTGGGTATTTGGACGTCATTATGGGAAACTTGTGCTTCCCTCTCATAAGTGAAGCCTGTGCTTTGGCCAAAGGCATCAACATTTCCTACACTAACTAAGCATAGGACTCCAGAGGGGGAAGGTAGCCTGACCCTTCCCAATCATTCCAAGCGGTGAAGAGCAAGGCAAACTCCGGAACCTCTCAGGAGCCCATGTGGTTTCTTGCCTTGCCGTCATCAGCTCTATACAGCCCCCGCAATGCCTAGTCCCCACATGATGCGGTTGGCCCTGGGACTAGAGATAGTTCACAGGAGAGCTGAGAGCAGGGCATGGTGGGGGGGGGGTCCTCAGGCCATGGTGCTGATGCAATGGTATCCCAAAGTCTTCTCTATAAGAGAGAGTGGCAC